GTTGAAGCAGTTCAAAGCGTGGAACAAGCTGCTGAGTATGACAAGGTACGTTTCGATAGTACTAAGGCTAAACTAAAACCTTTCGTGGTTGGGGATTTCGTTCTTCTGCAAAATGAAGAGCGAAATCAGACTAAACTTGACCCGAAGTACAAAGGTCCTTTTAAAGTCACTGAAGTCCTTGAGGGAGATCGCTACATTCTGAAATCGCTAAACTCAAATCGCACTTACAAATATGCACACGATAGGTTACGCAAAATGCCTGAGAATACTAGTGCCATTGATGACAACGACTCTGAGTCTGACTCAATAACTGCCGAATAGCACTTTTTTGTTTTTTTTATTTGCTATGATTGTNTCCGACATATTCATTAATTTATTTTTGAGATTTACTTTTACAGATAAAAATATTATTCTATGAAATAAAATGTTCTACCTCTGCTGGCTATTTTCAGTGGGTCGTCAGTTCATCAAGCGGATAGGTGGCTCTTCTACATTTGCTATAACGTTTACTTGTAAGATCTAACTTTGATTTTATATAGAACTTATTATAACTGTTTCAAATTCATAATGAATATTTCAGTCACATTTCTTACTAAGAATGAAGGTAAATAATGGACTTTTGTTTTCCCTTCCAACTCTCAAAATTATAGATCCCTAAATACCTTAAAATGCCATAAAAGGGAAGTGTCTAAGCCCATATTCTTGCCTCCCCCGAGCACACTTCCGTTTTTGTTAAATTAACTTTCTTTGCAAACTTCATTTTACGCGCATTTCACGATTTTACGCTCCATAAAATAGACAAGTCTTGTAAATATCCTGAAATATGGTTGTCAACTGATGTTCTAAGGATTGCTCTATGCATATCAAATCCGGATAAGTTTTAACTTGAAAACGGTGAGAGGACCAAATTTTTGTTCAGGAGATAGGAAAGTTTTTGCCTTATGTCAGTAGATTATTCAAATTCAAATTCTCTATTATTATGTACGTATGCTTTGTACCTTTCATGGTACTTAACGTCCCAAATAGCTTGCCTTACCATTCCCTTCGAGACACTATATCTTCTGGAGCTGAGAGGAAGTAATGGGAGTATTTAACTCAATCATTTTTTTTGCGTTATTTCAAAATGTATTTTGCAATTATTTAAATCTTCATACATCTCGTTACATACTTGAAGCTATACTGTTACCTATAATGATAGAAAAACTGTGATTTTATAACTTTAGAATGTTCAAGGCAATCATTTGAAACAGACCTACAAAGTTCTAACTCGTTCGTTATTTACCATTCGACTCCAGCCAGTGCGGGAAACTCGACCAGAAACCAGCAAATGTATGCAAAAAATTCAAATGCCACACTACGGTGTGGACTGTGAACGGTTTTAGTGACATACAGACAAAAAAAAAGAGGACTTGTGGTAGAGCTTTAAATAGAGGACTGATGGGTTCTTTAGGGATTTTTATAGAACTTGAACTTAAGTAAGGTATCATCATCATCATTTCAGCCACAAGACGTCCACCGAATATATGCCTCTCTCAATAATTTCCAGATTGACCGGTTGGTAGCGGCCTGCATCCAGCGCCTTCCTGCTACCTTTATGAAGTCGTCTGTTACACAAGGTGGTGGGTGGACGTCTCACCTATAGAGGTAGCTTAGGTAGACCTAAGTTTACAAAAAAATAAGAATCAGGTACGGGGCTATTCCCAACTCTAGTTGCTGCACCTCTGTGTAGCTAAGATCTGCAGCTTGACCGCAAGTAAATCCAACGGGAGGCAAAGTTTACCTCAGGGGGAAGTTACTTTCGTTGGACTTGCAACGAAATTCATCAAATGGAGATGGAAAAACTAAGACTTTAAACATTAACATTTGCAAGGGTAAAGTTTGGGTAAATGGCACTATTTACCTCTATTTTTGTATTTGTATTTGATACCTATTTAGTTGCTTTAGTAGTAGCACCACCCAACCATTAAGGAAATCATTGGGGGAGGCCTATGTTCAGCAGTGGACGTCCTACGGCTGAAATGATGATGATGATTAAGTTACTTTGAAATTGATAAAAATTGATTGGTGATATCAAATACTCGTACTCTATTGGAAGATCCACAATACCAATTGATCAACGTAAATAAGTTCAAACCAATTGATCTTATCTTCCCATTGCGATATTTGAAATAAAATAAAATACTTAAAACCTTCGTCTTGCACGATCGCCAATGGTGTGACATCAAACTCAGCGAAACCCGAGCGTCCCTCGGGAAATTTGTCTTAGACTGGAACGATATTAATCACTGGAAACAAAAATACTGAAAGATTTAATTGTATTTACGTTTGCTTTGTATCCTTTGGTTAAGTCCCCTCTTAAAACGCCTTTGATCTTATGTTTTAAGATTATATTTCTACAATAAAATTAATATGAATAAAATACCTACTTACTACGTTGTATTTTATTTATTATTCGTGTATTTATGAGAGTAGGGTCTCGTTCGTTTCAGCCAAATGAAGTCCACTGCTGGACAAAGGCCTCCCCCAAAGATTTCCACAAAGACCGGTCCTGCGCCACCCGCATCCACGCACCTCCCGCGACTTTCACCAGATCGTCGGTCCACATAGTGGGAGGCCTGCCGTCTACGTCTTCCGGCCCGTGATAACCACTCGAGAGTACTATCACCTCTGCTATTCATTCATTAACTCAATTTGACCAACTAACAGAGTAGATGACCACACAACCTTGTCGAATTGCCAATAAACAAATTTAAGATACATATAAAAAATACCCTTATGTCCAAAGGGTACTACAAGGTTCGAGACTATATTGATGACAAGGATGCGTGGTCAGTTCAGTCTGCACATATTTGATGTACAGTCGCAGAATGAAAAGGTTCGTCACCTTAGTGTCGATTTTCGCTTGCACTAGGTACTGTAAGAGTCAAAGCTGCCAACATAACAGTGCAAGAAACAGTGCTGCTAACATTTAAATAAATATGACGTTTGCTAACAAAATATAAGGTTTTGCTTGTTTATTTTTCTATCCCATCCAGTGCAATGCAATGATGACATTGACCAATTGACAATAGTTTTTTTTTTATTTAATAGAAATAATAATGGCAGGTTGAACCAACAAGAAGGTTTTAGTTTATCAATCATAATAATCTTCTTGACAAAATAAATCGTCAAACAACTTTGATCTGAATAATTTTGAACTTTACTGGCGAACAGTTAAAGATTATTTTCTCTAACTCGAGATTATTCTGTAACATAGTTTCAAAAGGTAATATGTGCTCGCGATTCGTTGAAGGAATCAATTTGAAAACTGACGAACCTTTTCATTCCGTGACTGTANAAATATTTTTGATTTTGATTTTGATTTTTGATGGGTTTTTGAAGTAGGTTTCTACTGTGGTAGTCCCTTCTCTAAATTATTAAAACAAATTACAGACAATTTTTTTTTTACTTTATGACGCAAATGCAAATGACAACTTCATGGTTTCAGCTCTAACCTGTTTAAGATTTAGAATTTAATTACCTTAAAAACCGTCGTGTACCAAGAAATCTCACAAAGGTCTTCGCTTTTCATTTCTTGTTCCTTGGTAAGTACAAAGTCAAGGAATCCGAGATTCCTGTGAAAATCGGTATTCTACAAGGGCCATAGACGAGCTACTAAGCATAGCCGATTAAATATTTTGCCTCATCGATTTCGGATTGCGATTAGGCGTCTGTATCGATATCAATATTCGTTTCAGCGACTAAATAGCGGCTTTGGCCTTATTTGGAGCGGATGTCGTATTTATCTCGGATGAAAATCAAGTAGACCCTGAATCGTTGTCGTTTAAATTTTTTTAGTTGTGGAACAAGTTTGAAGTGCCTAATTTGTGCAAGATTGTTTTTTTCTCAAGAAAATGCAAGACACTCATATTACATTTAAAAAAATTGTGCCTTGGCAGTTATAGGTACTCGTTGTTACACTATCTTTGATGAGATGTGGCATAACCTTCTAAATATTTTATTGTTACATCTACACAGATGTTAGAAGTAGCATGTTTGTTGTTACAAATTCATCATCATCATAGATAGGACGTCCACTGCTGAACATAAGCCTCCCCCAATGATTTCCACAATGGCCAGTAGGTGGCGGCCTGCATCCAGCGCCTTTCTTCTACCTTTATGAAGTCGTCGGTCCACCTTGTCACAAATTAAATAGGTTATACACTCGATTGTTGTTCTCATAATTTCACTGAGCAAATGAATTTAAAACCCTCCGTGTATTGTTTGTGACCTCATGCCCGATGGTTTCGTATCCAAATGAGCGGATTCCTAAAACAGACTATTGCGGGTTTTCCACTTTTCACGCGGCCCAGAAATTCCGGCAACATTGGTAACCGTCGCTATAGAATTTATATTGAAAAAAGGGCAATAAATACCTTGCGCTTCGCCTAATCAATTCGACCTTTTCGTGGGCGATTGGGTGCGATTTGGAAGAAAAAGACTTTCAGCATAAAATAAGGATAGTGGGTTCCGAATTAGAATAATCAGGTACGGTCAGTGACAAAGACTTATTTTGTAAGACTAATCTTTTATCTGAGATTTCTTGGTATTTATTAGAGACCCAGATGCTAACCTACATAAGAAAGCTTTGTAATCGGCATACATGTCGCAAACATAATTTATAAGCTAACATGTGAAATATAAAATAAGCTGTTTTTTCTCAATAAGTAAAATCATTACCAGGCATTAGACTTAATTGCAGTGGATCCAGCTACATCTCAAAGTCTATCACCCGTATTCACAAACGATGCTAGCTTAAGTGAAGCAGCAAATCGAACGCACAGCGTTGAATAGAGCTCTGTGATTGGTTCGTGTGTGACCCTGTGCGTCCACGTGCACTGTGAGACCTCATAGTAATGTTTGTGAATATGCGTGTCCAACAATGGGTTAGGTATACTCGTACATATCTGTTACAGCGAATTTCATTGAAGGCAAGGTAAGGAAATAAATATGTAGGTAGATTCTTTAATACACACATTTAATCATCATACAAAAATATTCACTGGAAATCCTAACAAAATATTGTAAGCCTTTGGTTTCATTACGTTGTAACATCTGGAAATCATTAAGTACAAAATAATGTTGTAATAGATACGTATAAAATTCCATACAATATTTATGACAATTAAAAAACATACTTACTCAAAGCTTTGTTTTGTGCCATTTTAATACCCGTATTCACAAACGATGCTTGCTTAAGTAAAGCAGCAATTCGAACGCACAGCGTTGAATAGAGCTCTGTGATCGATTCGTGTGTCACCCTGTGCGTCCACGCGCACTGTGAGACCTCATTGTAATATTTGTGAATGCGGGCGTAAGTCACGATCATAATCATTTACTTACATCTTTTTAAGCACATTAATCATACAGCTCTTTGCAGATATCGAATTTATAACTTAAAAAATAACGATTAAAGACAATTCACAGTAAAGGTACAAGACTCCCTAAGGTCTCCGCATAGTAATCGGGTTTAATGTTGCTGGCCATCATATCTTCTTCGGTGTTGCTGGTCAGCACTAGAAGCGTTTTGAAGCCACAGTTCTTGCCTAAGCCCACGTCTTGTTCAATCCTGCAATAAAGATAGTAAATAATCACTACATAGTACAAAACAAAGTCGCTTTCCGCTGTCTGTCCCTATATGGGTACCTATGCTTAGATCTTTAGAACTACGCATCGGATTTTGATGCGGTTTTTTAAATAGATAGAGTGATTCAAGAGGAAGGCGTATACTTAGCAGCCGTGCGAAGCCGGAGAGGGTCGCTAGTATTAAATATAACGGTTCATCATCATCAGCATTTCAGCTATAAGGCGAACATCTGCTAAACATAGGCCTTCCTTAATGACTTCCAGATTGACCCGTTGGCAGCGGCCTGCATCCAGCGCCTTCCCACAACCTTTATGAGGTCATCTGTACATCTTGTGGGTAGACGTTATAATACACGGTTACTTACGACATATGATTCTAGAGTCAGCGCCAAAACAATTTGGCAATCTTGCAAATAAGATAAAATAAAATTCAAATGAAACAGATATTCAAAAGACCAATTCGCATTCATTTATAGATTTAGAATTAGTTCAGTGCCAATTGAACTGCTTTTTATTTATTTATTTATTTATTTATTATTCATTATTGAGCAATTACATATTTGATCCAAATAGCGTCCTAAATCCTTTTTTATTCGCAAGAATGCCATATTTTATTCAATTGGCGTCATTTAAGTATCTTTTTAAGACAATAAAACTATCATTATTGCTTGCATAATTAAATTATCAGTCACGAATAAATTTAGTATAAAACTAGCTTCCGTTCGCGGTTTTGTTCTCGTGAAATCATAAAACTAGATCGTAAAATATCTATTTTAGATTGTCTGAATCACTCTTATCGAACTACATAGAATATAGGTATTTTCAATATTACTTGGTAAATGGTAGGTTTTCCATACACTTTCATTTTACATTAGACTATTTTCATCATCATCATCATCATCATCACATCACAGCCATAGGACATCCACTGCTGAATTAATGGGCCTCCCCCAATGCTTTCCATGTTGCACGGTTGGTAGCAGCTTGCGTAGCAAACCATTTTACTCTCATTTAATTATTTTACAGAATAAAAAGTAAAGCGTGGATTTTCCAAGGTCCTACTTATCTTTGCAGTAAAATACATTGAAATTGGTTCACGTGCAAACGTAGGAAGTACCAAATAAAAACAGAAGATAGAGTTACATTCGCAAAAATAGAGTTAAGAATCTATATACTAAAGGAAAAGGTCACTGATTGCCTGACTTACTGACTGACTGACTCACTCACTCATCACGAAATCTCAGAAACTACAAGTGCTAGGAGTCTTAAATTTTTCACGGGGGTTCCTTTTAGATCGTTTGTGCTCACTAAGACGGGATTTTACAAAATTCAACCCCTAAGGGGGTAAAATGGGGGTTGGAAGTTTCTACGCGTACAATGTCGCGGGGGGCCGCTAGTCTAGTATAATAGTAAATCTAGTCTAAACTAATAGGTATTTCAAACTTACATGTCTCCAATGAAGAGTATTCGACTAGGATCAGTAAAGCCGGCCCTCTTCATGGCGAACTCTCCAAAGATCTTCCCTGGTTTCCCCAGCTGGATAGGCTCTCGTTTCGACTCTTCAATCACTATGTCGTTGAATGGTCCGGTACCTGCGCGTAAGCAATTTCAATTGTATGATTTATATGACTGTGTAATTTGGACAAAATCACTAAAAACTTTCATCATCATCATTATCAGTCCGGTTTTTGAGCCTTTCGACCCCGCTTTAAACTGAACTGGAGTTCAAAGCGGGGTTAGTAACCATTTTTGCTGACATAATGTTTTTTTTTTCTTCCAATAACCCTCTCCAAATACTTTATCATAGAGATTAATATACGACTCTACCATAAATAGTTATTTCATATCACATTTTCTAAGATCTGTTTCATACGTTAGTCCCAACCTCCTCATCCAACGTATGGATTTAGAAAATAGTATTGTCACCAGCTTGAGTAACTTGATAAAATCGAACTGCCTAAGGCGGGAATCGATCCCACGAAAGCTATTCTCAAGACCCACATGTTGGACGAGTGGCATCGTTGGATCCAACGTGTGGATCCAGCAAAAACATGTTCTGTCAACGACGTTTTAACATAACTTACCGAGAGCCAAATGTCCAGGCTTAACAGGCAAGTATCTGTCTGAAGCTCCATTCAGGAAGATGACGTCAGGTCTCCGAAGGTGGATGATGGCGGTTGACAGTTTTATCAGGTTGATCCTGAAGTCGCTGTCGAAGACCACGGCACCCACGTCAGGGTCACCGTCCAGGCTCTTCAGATAATCTTCGTAGCCTTTTACTGATTCTGGCTGGAAAGAAATTTGATTGTGAGCTCATTTTATTTTTAAATTTAAAAACATCGATTGCTTCATACGGGAATTAAACCCATGATTGGGCAACTGTTTTGACCGAACCTTTCAAGTAGGTATATTACGCCGGTTCAAAGCACATTTATAGGTGTATTGTAAATGGAAAAGTCTTGATAATATGCAGATAGTACTTAATAATTATAATCGTGCTGTAATTTATTTATGGCTGAAAATTTGAGTGGATCACAACTCTAATAACATAGAATAGGTATTGATTCTTATACGCAATGAGCCATATTATCAGACCAAAAATGTTTGATGAAACGTAGCTATTAGAACTGAGCCGTTGCCTTTACGGTGATCTTACTTCCTCGGTCGTTTTTCATATTTAACTAGCTGTCCCGGCGAACTTTGTTCCGCCTTAATGGCAATAAATAAAGCAGACTTTTTTTTTAAATTTCGAACGACATTAAAGTACCCTATGTCCTTCTCCTGGCTCTAAACTACCTCCCTGACAATTTTCAGCTAAATCGGTTCAGCCCTTCTTGATTTATAAGTGGAGTAACTAACACGACTTTCTTTTATATATATAGATATAGGTTGTGAACACTTACGCCTTCAACGCATTCGAATCCATTTGCTTCTAGAATTTTGATCGTCTGAGGACATGCGACGCAGTACACTTTCTTTGAGAACTTGATCGATTTCAGGTATTCTGCTATCGCCGTGGATGGAATTGTCAATTTTTCCTGAAAATGAAGAGAAAAATAAAGAAAATAAGCATAAATCGTCATAATACATTTTTATTGTATAATGGTATATACTATTACGACTGCATAAAATGCCATAATGTATACCCTGATTCATGCGTTGTACATCAAACTACCTACATATTTATACAACATAAAAATATTTCATAATGTGCCGTTGCATGTACTCGTATATTTATTAATGTTCTGAAAACAGGTACTTAGATCAAAGTGTACTAGATAAGCGACTCATTTATAATGGTGTGCAGTCTAAACAAATAACGATGACTTCACGATTTTCATTATTATTTTATCTTTGCAAATAAAAATGGAAACAACAAATGTGCATGAAGCACTGTCGTGCCATGCATCTCACTACCACTGTCTATAGCGTGTTATTTTGTCATTTTGGCAGAGGTTCAATTCTGCAATCATCACGTTAAAACATGTTTGATGTAGGTACAAACCTAAATAGATTATTATCTGTTATGGCGCAGTTACACGTTGACGAATTTGATGAAATCTAAATGAAAACACGCGCAGAAGTATGGGCCACGCATGGCGAAACGAGCTGAACTGTGTGTTCAATAATGTTCATACTATATGATTCGATCAACTTGGCGCATAGTGTAACTGCGTCATTAGAATGTCTATACAATCTGTGAAGTTTAAACAGTAAGCCTTTACAATGAAGAAACAGTTACTCATCTATCATAAAGCAATTTAATATAAACCCATGACTCAGTTGCATGAACTGTATTAGCTTATTGAATTCGTGTCTCGATCAACCATCCAATCATCAAGACCTGTGATCATACTTTCACTATGTGCAGAAGAGATGTTAAGTTTTTAAACTTTCGCGTTCCATTTCAACTAAAATAGTAAGACACATAACGTACCTCATTAATAAACGTCGCGTTAAGACCCGTGTCTTATTATTTTAGAGATCAAGTTACATCTAAGGATATACATATTTTGTTCGAAAATAACATATCCTTTATTTTCTAATCTGCCGGCAGCAAACGTATTATGAATACCAACAAAAATTTAAAAGGTGTGTTTTGGATTTCTTACGACTGTCACTATAAATCTTATTTCAAGTTAATTTAACCGAATGTTGTTTATTTAAGTTTAATTAAGAGCGTATAAAGAAAACAATTCAGGAAAACTAAACTCATAAAAAGATACCTAAATACGTTCACGCTCAAAGTTACTAGGTACTTAAATTATAAATAGCAATAAATTGAAAGCCTAAGCTTCCAAACGAAAATTATTTTTCCAAGAAGTCTCTTAAGTGATATAAATTGATGTAAGTATAAAATAAAGCCTCCCAATCACGAGTAGAATGTTCTTTGGGTGGCTTCGCTCGACATACCACGTATGACAACGCTTATAAATATCTAATTTATGATATTATTATCATAAAGGTAGCAGGAAGGCGCTGGACGCAGGCCGCAACCAGTCGATCAACATGGAAATCATTGGGGGAGGCCTATGTTCAGCAGTGGCTAAAATAATGATGATATAGGATATTGACAAGAGAAAATGTACATTTAACGCTGTGGGGGTCTGTATTGTGTTTTGTTTTAATTCGCGGCAGTTATATGTCTTTTTGAGATACTTTCGTTAAAGTTGTATTTTTATCCTTTTTAACACAAAACCATATTTATTTCCTTTCCCAGTGACATTAAAACCGTGTGACAAGAATAAAAAATGTTCTCGCTCTTTCTAATTCATTAACTATTTATACGGCCAAATGAATTAACTTTAGACTTGTGTACCTCTCTGTAAAATGAGTTAATGACTATTCCCGACTTTGGGCTGGCATTCAAAGAGTACGGTCACAGTAAAGTTGAAATAGTAAGAGTAACCGTAAGGGTAGTTTAATTTTATTTGACATGTCATAATATGACAGTAAATCCTACTGTATCTCAGGTACTACGGACGGGTCCGATTCGAAAAAAAATTGTGTTGGGTAGTCCACTTATCAAAAAAGGTTTTAGGTTACTTAACATCACCCTACAGCTAATAGGGGCGGAGTAGTAAAGAAAAATATTGCAAAAACGGGAAATGTTATTGAAACTATTTTCACGCGTACGAAGTCGCGGGTACAGCTATGAGTAATTTAAGTATGTAAGAACGTAAAAAGGTTTGTACCAGTCAACAGCAATCAGAGTATACAATTACAATTTTGTTGCAAATTAGCATCTATTCCATTTACGTAAGAAGTTGCTTGTTGTGCTGTCGTCTGTAAACAAATCAACCGAGCATTGAATCCGCAACCTCTGGTGTTATCAGTTCAGTACGCGGTTCATTATCCAGCTCATTCATTTATTTACAGGTAAACAGCAGCAGTTCAAGTTTTATAGGCTTGATTATTGAATAATAAATCACTTATTCACGTCAATAAAATATTGTTTGACAGGTTAGCTTATTGGTAAATAGCAGTATAGTGCGTCATACCCGGCTGACGGCAGTACTCTAGTTTTTTAGGTTAAAGTGTTGTACAGTTAGCGTCAAATAGTTTTGAAACATCCAAGTAGCCAAAAAGTTCGCAACACATCTTTGTTACAATCCAAATATTAAGGTTGTGATATCAACTTAGTTCATAAAACAAAAAAAATATGAAAAATTAAAAAAAAAAAAAACTTGTAAATATAACCATCATCATCATTTGCAAATATAACCATCATCATCATCTGTAAATATTGTCTCGCATCAATGTCTTTTTCAGTTTGCTCGTAGAAAATTGCGAGAAACTATCCTACTCTCTCAAAACTCAATAAAAGTAACTTAATAATAACCTAACATCCAATTAAAAAAAAACATTGATTCTGGTAGCAAAATACCAGTTAAAAAAAAAATTTTTGGTCACTGGTTTTAGTGTCACGAACTTGACGCTGATTGTACCCGAATATAGGTTTGTTGGAGATGTTTTACTACATTCCCTTATACTGTGGCACACTGGCAATTAAAGAAGGCGCAATTACGGGATCATTTCCATTTTGAATAAATACAAACATTCTATCCTTTTGGAGCGCTGGCAGTTAACGAGTGACGAAAATGAATGACTATTACACAATTAAGGAAATAAAAGGGAGAGAAAATATTAAAATGTTTCTTTTTCTCGCCGGTTGCTTAAGAATTTATGCTTTGAATTGCACGATTATTTTCAAATGCTTTTTTTACGGAAAATTACTACGAAGTTATTGAAGTTTATAGCGTTAAGAGTCGCATCTCAAACTTAATTATAATAACTTGAAAAAAATTGAACTGCTTATGATGGGAATCGAACCCATGACCTTTCGCTTGCCGGCGACGAATTTTGACGGATTTGAGTCTAAGTTAGCTCAGATTGAAGAGCAATCGCCCGGCAAGCGAAAGGTCGTAGGTTCGATTCCCACCTTATGCAGTTCGATTTTTTAAAGTTATTTATAATTTAGTTTGAGATGCGACTTAACGCTATAAATGTTAATAACCCCATCTCAATAGAATTATTTTCAAAAGAGCTCGTTATGGTGTATGTTTCCATACACTAACATACTAACAATGGGTTTCGGCCCAAGGATACTGGCCATTATATTAGGGAAGAGAAATCATATTACACCTACTGTCCAGACCCTTACCGAAAAATAGTCGGGTGCTATGCATTGTGCTTAAAATAGATATGAAGTAATAACATGAAAACAAGTTCTTTTCCATTTAAGGCTGTATGTTATTATGTATCTGCTATTAGGAGCTTCAATCGTTATAATTCAATAAATTATAATAATGCGAACAGCAAGTGACTGGAATTCGTTGCCTGTCTTTCCCGAAGACTATAATCCGGGCCTTTTAAAGGCGAGAGTGAATAGGCACTTGCAGGGCAGATATGTAGTACCATCCTAGACTGCATGCCATTTAACATCAGGTGCGATTGTGGTCATGCATAAAAAAAAAACAAAAAAATCTTATCTTTGAGGAAGTATTTTTAACCGACTTCAAAAAAATGAGGAGGTTCTCAATTCGAAAAATATTTGTCTTTATTTATATCTGTTTTGTACAACATCATCTGCACTCAGACTGTACAGGTCTGTCTAATGACGGCCTAGTGAAATTACTATTGTAGAGGTCCGACCAAACTCCTTGGCCGCTCGCCTGGCTGGCGAGAAACTTATTCTTAATTTTTATTATTTTTCTGATTGTCACTTTTTTCTCTTCTCTTGACTTTGCAAAATAGCCTTTATTACAACGAGATAAGTCACCACTGTATTTAATGTGGTGTCGTCTGTACAGTCAGCACCAAATAGTTCGTGACACCCAAAGTAGCCAAAAAGTTCGCAACACGTCTTGTTACATTGGAGTAAGGTTTTGTTGTCACTGTTCGGCCACTTTGGGTGCCACAAACTATTGATACTGACTGTACTATGGTAAGTACAAGCTTTGCTTACTTTACTGACCTTTAAGTTATGACAGTTTAACTTTCCCCCGGGAAAAAATGACCTTCACTGGCTGGGTATTTATTGGCGGTCAAGCTGTAGATCCTGGCTACACAGGAGTTGCAGCGGTGGGAACGAGAGTTGGGAATAGCCCCGTGACTTTTAAGTTAAAGAATGACTACATATTTAAATACTTTTCATAATGCAAAAATGCACGTTGTTTTTACGTGAACATGCAAGCCAGACGGTCAACAACAATATATGCCAGACTGTCAACATCATTATAATATTATCACTATGTATTTCCTACTAGTTGTTGCACGCAAAATTGCTATTTATTACTTTTTTTTTTTATTTTTTTTTTATCCACAACGAGGAAGCTCTTGGCCTGTATCTCACCTGATGGTAAGTGACGATCAGGCCGAAGGTGGAAGCGAGCTTCACCCGGAATCCTCAACCACGGAGGAACTGGCTATCTTACCTCTAACTGTCGGAACACAATAATGCTGTTAACATTGTTGTTATGGCGACAGACTTAGGTAAGATGATTACTTCCAGAATTTACTTTCTACATCAACAAAGTGCCTATAGCTTTAGCCAATACCTTAGGTATGGGAGCGCCATGGGAAGGGTGACACAAAATAACATACAAGTATGAAGCACATCTGAAGACTTGGTGACATTTGACGTCACATAAACACCCTCCCATGCCGGTCCCGCATGTCTCAGGCACTCAGTATGACTCAGTTAAGGTTCATCCAAACCAACGCGTGCAGCCTTCGTGCGCGACGGTTATTCTAGTAATTTCTACTGTTCTTCATCGCCAATCGCCGTTACGCACGCGGGCTGCACGCGTTGATTTGACTGAACCTATAAAGCTTCAACCACACCAACGCGTGCAGATCGCCATCGACAAAGGCCAATGACAGGTCGCGCGACCCATGACAGTTCACGCGACCTGTCATTACTCTATAATCGCGCCGTGATCGCGCCGCGATGGCGATCTGCACGCGTTGGTTTGGCTGAACCTTTAAAAGCTAGACTTATAGTTGTATGCAAATACTTATATGAATTACTTACGAAACCATTTTCAATACCAGCAGCCTTGAATTTCCCCTCGTAATTTTCTTGTGTTCTCAAGCTGTTGTTTGATACATAGTGCACTGATTTCCCATGTTGCTTGATTTTCTCGAAGAACTCCCCTGAACCCGGCAGGGTGTTGTTGGTCCATATGACTCCTGAAAGAAATAAAATAGCTTGAATATTTAGTTTCTTAACGTTCTTCTCAGCGCTGGTCCATTTATTGACCCGAAAGAGTGTACTAATATTGGGATGTGTGAACGTGCACTTGCAAAAAATAAATCTATATTACGATACGGCTTGAAGAGTATGTTTTTTTGTTTGGTTGAACGCGGTAATTTCAGGAACTACTGGTCCGATTTGAAAAAAATATTTTTGTGTTGGATAGCCCATTTATCGAGGAAGGCTACGAGTATAATATCACCCCATAGCAAATAGAGACGGAGCAGTAGAGAAAAATGTTGCAAAAATGGGAAATATTATTTACTAGCTTTTCGCCCGCAGCTTCGCCCGCGGAAATTTTGTCTGTCACAGAAAAACTTTATCGCGCGCCACCCTGTTTCAAAAACCGGGATAAAAACTATCCTATGTCCTTTCCCGGGACTCAAACTCCATGCCAAATTTCATCAAAATCGGTTCAGTGGTTTAGGCGTGAAAGCAAGACAGACAGACAGAGTTACTTTCGCATTTATAATATTAGTATTAGACTAGTATAGATTTTCACGTGTACGAAGTCGCGGGCATAGCTAATGACTGCACGACATTATGCACTGGCCGATGAAATATTTTTTTCTTTAAATGCTTATATTTTATTTGGGAGCTATAAATGCTTTTTCTAGGTAATTGATAGTCTTTTCTTTTGAATTCGAACACTACTTTGTTTTATCTATTTTTATTTGCCCGCTATGTATTCTTTTTCTAATATTGTGATCGTTTTTTGTTCAACTATTTTCTTTCATCGATTTTTAATTGGCCACTGAGAAGTATTTTTTCTAATACTGTTTTTTTCATTAATTATTATATTTCAAATACCGAACACGAATATTCGGTAACCTTTAGTTAATGTAGTACACCGGTTGTAGTTTATTCCTTGATTCTCATCATATTATTATCAGTTTGCTTGTTCAACGATAACGAAACACATTTGATGCTATCTAGTAGTTTTATTGCAATAATGTTAATGAAAACAGGTGGTTTAATATAATGCGCTGACGATCTTATACCTACAGCTCACTTTGCCCGAACAATTATAGGAGTTATTAAGGCGATTAGAGTCCTCAATCCGCGTCAAATGGGCATTTTGTAAAGCCTACTCCTCTTTTACTGCTGGACAGAAATAGTTGAAAAAAATATATGTTATACAACAGTTCAAGGACTACATTTGTGACGTTTGAATTTTCGCTACGTCTCTTTGTTTTGGATTAAAAAAATAAATACGGGACATCGATTTTTTACTTAAATTCCCTACTCCTCCAAAACGGCTATGTTAATTTAAAAGATTTTTGCACGAATAGATTAGGAATTCTTTAATCTTTAAATGACACGTTGCGTTTTTCAATCGAACATTACTTTCATTCATAAATTTTACTTTTGATAAATTCCGAACGTTTTGCTGTTGAGGGGGCCTTCGCGGGGTGCGGGCGGCAGTCGGCCGCTGGCCTTCAGACGGGGAGGTTGTGTCACTCGCTGCAAACTGACATTAGCGATCAAAATGAATTTTTTCTTTGGCTGAGTTGCACCACCTGACGTGACCTAACTTTGACCGTAGCTTTGGCGATAACCAGTGTTTTTTTGTATGGAGTTTGACAGATTTTTGACTTTTGTCAAATTTAAAATAAGATGGTGCAACCTAGTCTTTGTTTGACAATAGTTTTTATGTCAGAGTTGTTCATGGAGCACGTTCAGTCAGACGATACGATTGAATTAAGGCATGCTCGGACGCTATTATCTACCTAAATAGAATCTATTAGTGTAAAAATATCGACTCCAAAAAATGTTGAAAATATATTCTGTTATTTATTTACTAGGCCTTTGCAATCAGTATCCAAATTAAGAGCGAGTCAGAATCAGTAACTTAATCGATTTACGTGAAGAAACCAATTTATATTTTTCATACTTATGCTCGGCGCAAATGGGCCATTTAGAATTAGATTTTCAATATGTTTCTTCGCGAAAATACCACAGTTAAAAAAAATAAGATAAAGTGGTATTGATAAATTGTTTTTTTCTATATATAGAGCTTATTAAAAAATGTGGATACTGATTACAAATGCCCGTATATGATGATTGATATTTTCGGAGTTGGTGACAGCCTACCTTTTGGTGATTCGTTTTGGAGTTGGTTTTAATTTTTGGTGAAAATTAATTTATTTATGCCTTTAGTAGACTATAGGTACTCAATAGACCTTGTTGTTGCCACTGAAGGTGCATAGGTACACAGTACATTGATACCATATTTTTCATGTTAAGTGCAAATAAACTTCCCTAAATTACCTAACCATGAAACGTACCTAAAGGCTATAATAATTAAAAAGTTTCGTCGATAAAAACTGAAATCCTCTTATAAGATGATGAATTTTGGGAGCATGTCATGAAACTAAAATTATTAGCATACAAAAACTTGTTTTAAAAAATGATTTTTTCTTTTGATTTATTTTTTTATTTATGATGCGGAATTTGCTGCGGCGTAGTAGCAAAGATTTTTCGTTATGTAGCTCGTAATAATTTCGAAGAATGGGGATGTTTCCTGGGTAAAGCAAGAGTTTGAATTAGTCCGTCGGTCAACTTACCAAAAAAATACTTTAAATGTATTTTTCACTTTTTTAAACTTATGAAAATATAATGCGATAGGCGTGCTTAAAATTGTTGCGATTTGTGACGTCAGGCGGATAATACACTTATTTTTAAATATTAGAGAGCAATATTAGGGAATATGCCATATAAAACAATTCAGCCTAAGGATTAGATGGGCACAAGTACAAGCAATACCCAAAATCACAACAACAGAAATAGTAAAATAAAGGCCTAACTATAAAATATTTTTTTAAACAATTTTTTTAAATACTCATAATCAATATTTTCAAAAATGTCTTATGTCAAATTATATAACAGATACCAGTGATGAAGTATGCTTAATTTGAAAGCTGTAGCTGATAAAATAAAGATTTTAGAGCCAATTATGTAAAAAACCGCGATCCGCCGATTGGCTTTTTGGCTTTTCCCAAAAAACTGAATTTTGGAGTTGTGCCCATTCATTATTAAGGGTGCGGTATATCCAAAATTTTAACTCAATCAGTTGTTGAAGGATTTCATATAAAAAGACGAGATTTAACACATTTTCAGTTTACCTATTCTTCATAAGTGACACAAAGAGAATGACAATAGATAAAAGAAGAAACATTTGCTTTTTTAAACCATAGACAATACTACTATGTGTTCCAATACCTACAGTTGTCGTCAGGAAGTTGGTCTAACAAATTCAGCTTGCAAGATTCCACCCGAAGCTACCTACATATTACATGTTCAAATTTCGAGAACGGCTGAACCGACAAAAACATTAGAAAATTTAGGAAAAAATAAAATATCCCGTACAAAATGTTCATGGATTGTGTTATTTTTATTAAATACCTTTACGCCTGAGTTAAATGACACCGACATCAAGGTTCATCAATTCAAGTTTAAATAATAGGCAGTAATGTCATGAAAAAAGAGCTTCTATTCTGTATCTACCTATGCCCGTGTAATTTTGATCGGTGTCAAATCGGAGTTTTCGTGCGGGGTGCGCGGGTGTTTCACGCGGCGTGAAGGTCAAACGCCCAAGGTCATTGAGGACTCTAATCGCCTTAAGAGCGCTTTCACATTAGGGCGTTAGAAGCGCGACAACAGCGCGGCAGCGTCGTTTTTATAATGTGAAGACCCATACATAGTATGAAATTTTCGGCAGAGCGTCTGTCGCGCGTTTGTCGCGCTGCTAAATCGCCTAAATGTAAAAGTGCTCTAAATGTCTCAGGAACTAATTAAAGACATACCTACACTAGATACTGAAACGTTGGTATAGTTGAATGGTTGTCAATATGAGATTAGTGACGTCATAACTGTGACGAATCCAGACTATTTTTTTTTCAATAACATGGAAATAACACAATGACTTTCATAGAAGTATGAAAGTCATTGTGTTATTCAAATAAATAGTAAATGTTATTATTATTCATAATAATTCATGTTGTTTTCTTTAAAATTGCTTCGAATTAGTTTTTGTTATAAAATACAGACATTTATAAAGATAAAATATGATTTTATGTCGTTACGTAATTATTTATTCACACTAATGCAAATTCTTTACACATGATTTATTGTTTCTAACGTCACTATGTCTGTATTTTTAAACAAAAACTAATTCGAAGTAATTTTGTTAACTTGGGGATTTAAGGCTGGGGTGCACCATAAAGTCCATAAATTCATAAAAAACACCGGTTATCGATAACGATTACAGCATGAATAAAATTAACACCTTCACACCATGTTAAAAGAATATAAATAATTCATTGCATTTAATTTATCAGAACTACCTGTCTAATTAGAGTGTAAATACTGCAAGCGGACAAATGGTTTTCCTTTTTTTAAAATATAATGTACTAGCTTTTGCCCGCGGTTTCACCCGCGTGAAATTTAGTTTGTCACAGATCGTCATAAATTATAGTCTATAATGTTATTCTGGGTTATAACACTATAAAGTTTCATCAAAATCCGTTCAGTAATTTTTGCGTGAAAAAATAACAAACATCCATCCAGACATCCAAACTTTCGCAATTTATAATATTAGTAGGATGATTAATGCAGCGACAACTCACGTATCACAAAATTATAATTAATATCCCTATCTACTATAATTCAACAGGTAGGTAATGTATAATAAAAAAACGCGGAAATTAATAACGCATAGCCTTGATCTGATAATGATAAAAGTTAAGTAAGTAAACAGTCGAGTTATAATTAAACTAAAACTCAAAACATAACAATTATGAGAGAAAAAGTTGATCAATGCATACCTAAATAGGTAATTTATGAAAATTCACATCTATAAATTGTATGAAAACCTAAAGATAAATCAAGTCCGTCCCAATATTTACAATTCCACGCTAATTCATGTAAAAAGAATTGAAATCACTATAAAATATAGGCTCTTAATTTCAATATTTTAATTTCCTTGTTATCTTTACAGCTGTTTTGACAATGGAGTTTAAAAATATTGTCGATTTAGTCTTCAGTTTTTCAAATGCCTGTACCTACGGTTTGTACTAAACGATCTTATATTAGCATTGTACTGCAATAGGATGTGTAATACGTTATGTGTATGTATGACTCTAAACAATGACGTCACAACAGCTGATCGGAACATAAATAAATAACTCACCGTCACAGTCCGAGAATACATGGTCAAAAGAGTCCAAAAACTGCTTGAAAGCACTTGCACTTAGCTCCGTTACGTTCACTGGCCCGATCATAATGGTAAATTAATATTCTTAACGCAATAATCCAACGCCACGTGTGCTCATAACCTAGTCGCGTCAAGCACTGCGCTCGCGTCACCACGATGTGTATAAAATCAGCCGGTCGACGCGTGTTTCCATTGGTACACGGATTCGATAAGGATTACTCATGTTATATTCCAGAATATTCCTTGTTATTTGTTTATAATCGCAATTATTAATAGTGTTTACTAATTGTTAATTAAATAATTTGATTAATATTGTTCATTGTTTGAAATAAACATGTTATTTATAAACCTCGAAACAAATAAAAAAGCAATTTGCGGATTAATAAGGCCAATCAACTATAGAGAGTCTTTGTTTTTGTGAATTTATCGATTAAGTATAATAAGTATCTTGCATTGCTGCAAGAATTTTATAATGTAATGGTCACTGAGCTAGCTCAATCGCAGTCAAATTATATACAGGTTATCCCAAAATTAGCACGACATACTGACACTAGCAATAGCGGACTTGTTCGATGCGTTTTAGGCTGATCTACCTCAGCTGGGCTAGGATGTGCCCCGTGATAAAATCTTATCAATGATTTTAGACGACAAATGTATGGGCTTATTGCGTATAATCGATAAATTGTCGTGATTAACGCCTATCGCGGCGTGCATCCTTGGCCGACTGGTAACAGTGTGATGTGCTAATATTATCTTTAAAATTATGTTTATTATTTTAGTAACTTTCTTCTGATTAATTTCGTTGCGGGACCAATGACAGTTTAACTTTCCCCCGGGACAAACTTGACCTTCATTGGTTGGGTTTTTGTGGCGGTCAAGCTATAGATTCTGGCTACACAGGAGTTTCAGTGGTGGGAACGCGAGGTGGGAATAGTCCCGATTTTAGTAACAACATTGCCAAAGTGGCCAAAAAATCATTCCGTGCAATATAATGTATATTCTAGGTCGAATCAACACGGCTTCGGAATATTCCCGAAATAGATTTAATATCGGCTTCTTGTGTTTTCTGCAATTTGAAAGTCAAATGTGACGCTATTTCGGATCGTGACAAGTTTGATTAAAGTCAAATATCGATATGCATTTCTCACTCTATTTTTATAAAACAGATGGAAAAATATCAAGCTGGATTAGTTGGTGATCATCAACCAATTCAAGTAGAAAATGTTGCCCCTTCTGGGAATCGTACCTAGGACCTCTGAGTCTAAGAGATCTTACTCGTACCATTTATTTATGAACTAGCGGCCGCCCGCGACTACGTACGCGTGGATCCCGTTTTGCCCCCTTCATGTTTTTTTCCCCCGCTAACTCCCGTTCCCGTGGCAATTTTGCAATATCCTGTTGTAATTAAGCTTTAAATTTACTAAGGTACCTGGACGCCAAATTTCAAGCGTGTAACTTAAGCGGTTTAGATTTTTCATACAAATGTTTTTTCCCGATAACTCCCGTTCCCGTGGGAATTTTGCAATATCCTGTTGTAACTAAGCTCTAAGTTTACTAAGGTACCTGCATGCCAAATTTCAAGCGCCTAACTTAAGCGGTTTAGATTTTTCATATAAAAGGATTTTCCCGCTTATTCCCGTTCCCGTGGGAATTCCTAAGTATCCTATAACCTGCCCAGGAGTATGAAGAATAATTGTACCAAGTTTCGTTCAAATCCGTCGAGTAGTTTTTGTTTCTATAAGGAACATACAGACAGACAGACAGACAGACAGACAGACAGACAGACAAAAATTTTACTGATTGCATTTTTGGCATCAGTATCGATCACTAATCACCCCCTGATAGTTATTTTGAAAATATATTTCATGTACAGAATTGACCTCTCTACAGATTTATTATAAGTATAGATATAGATGTCACTATGGTCACATATTTCTCAGAGAAAGTTAAGTAAAATTAGTTTATTTGTAATTATTCCAATGAAATTAAAGTTGATAAAATTGCCAGGTATTTTGTAAAATGAATGCAAAAGTATTATTGCGCCGATTTTGCATCGCGCACTACTCGTCGGGACTCGAGTGTTTGTCTGTTTTCTCGATAGCCCTTCTCCCAGCCACTCGTATACTGGGTGAATGCAGGTTCGCATTTTGTGCACTGATTTTGAGTTTACTTTACTATAAATGCTTGTCGTTTGAAGGGCATGTACTCACTGGGAATTGATGACATAGCTTTTCAGCATAAAGTGTCTTGTGTTAACTTAAAAAAGTGTACATCGTAATTTTTTTCATAATTATTATAATACTTAATTATTACGTTTTTTACACCCTCATGCAAAACTGCTACACGGATTATGATAAAACTTTACAATGTATATTAGAAACCACCCTGAAGGCAAAGGTGTGCTGTGCTACCTTTGAAGAAACATGAATGTGTTGAAACTGCTAAAGCTATAATATTTTTATTTCAACAAACCTGTTTCATTTTAGCATTAACTATCGACGTAGCAAAAAGTATTTACTGCAAATTAAACTCACCGCTTGTAGCGTTAGCAAAAAAGTAAACTTACCCTTTGCTTTCAATTAATAACGGGGGGTACCGTCAGCGAAGGCGCGGAAATATGCCCGTAATTATAATACACGGCCGAGCGTTAATCTGCTTCTCTAATGATGACTAAAGAAAAAATGGCGGAACGTAACACGGGATTATTAGACCGGGTTCTGTATAATAAAGGTGCTATTTTTTAGTAGCCGCAATATTTTATCACTTTATTAGAGAGGACAATATGAAGCTAAATTATACATAGGTAGTAGCAAAATTTCTTATTATATTATTTAGTTTTAAAAAGAGCGATTTTAGCCGACTTTAACAAAAGGAGGAGGTTCTCAATTTGGTTATGTAACAATGGCCTCATTGTGCTGATACCTACTTGCTCCATCGCTTGAAATTGAAGTACCTACATAAATGTCAATGCTCAATACTCAGTATAGCATTGCTTCTTTAATGTAAATACAATGTGTTTGCACAGTAATGTTTTTTAAACGAGTCATCTGAATCTCTCACATCATATTGTGATTCTTTAAAAAACATTTAAACAATGCAAAGCCAAGTTCATGACCCTCAGATAACAATAACAGTGTTCTCTAAAATAATTTCGATCCAACTAATTCGGAATCCCAGTGTTATCAAACTTGGTACCTGTCCTTAGCTCTAATTACAAAATACAAACTTTCCCTACGGAACCCTGGAGCAGGGGATTTCGCACCGTCAGTCCCAGCCTAGGGATTACGCCGGTCGACAACCCTGCGATTTATTGCTAACAAAAGTTAGTTCAGCCCTGGGGAGCCTTTATGGCAACTCGTTAGAAATTTTCATCTTCACAATCATGTAGGCTTCTGTGATGTAGAGAATTTTATTGACGGTGGGCCCAGTTTCCAGAAGAGAAACTATTAAAAAATTCAAATAAAAACTATTAAAAAATTAAATCTGGCCACCTGGGCCGAGTCTTCCAGTGGCTTGACCCACTTTTAGCTTGGTCCAGGGGCTAAGTCACTGGATTAAATTTTTAAATATTTTTTCTTCCAGCAACTGTGCCCATTCTAAGATTTTAGAGTAGATTTTTGTTGATTTGGTGTTTAATTTATGAATAAAAACATTGAAGGTGAGCCCTGTTACTGGAAGAATATAATTAAAAATTGAATCCAGCGACTTGGCCCGTGGACCAAGTTAAAAGTGGGTCAAGTCACTGGAAGACTCCCGGGGCGGTGGGCCAAGATAAAATCGGGTCAAGACTATCTTATGGCATGCTCACGTGCTTTACTTCAATCAATTTGGTTCTTTTTTACGCCATTTTAAAGATTTGTGTCCTGAAATTACTGCTTAATGATACCAACAACGTTCACGGTCCACGTTTTAAGGTCATAGCACACGTATCAACCCAGAAATATATAAACACCGTATCGCTTTTCGCCGCGAGGCAAGGTGTTTACGTTATGGTGAGGATAAGACTAAGTGTGCGTACGTTGCAGTATGGAGTTTCATATAAAGAAAACTGACCGCCTCGAGTCCGATCCGTTTCCGGGCTGATAAAGTGTGCTTCGTTCTTTAAGGGCTCGCCGTGACCGTGTTATCAAACTTACTATTAANCTACTACTCCTAAACGGCTGAAGCGATTTTAATGATTCTTTCACCAAATGATAGAAAATTTAATTGTCTAAAAAATTGTTGTTCGTTTTTTTTCAAAAATAATGTATTACGTGTCATACAATCAAAATACCCGGTAATTTCCGCACGCGGGCCGCGCGATAGCGGGAGCTCAGTCTTTCACTAGCGTTCGCACGGGGAGGCTGTGTCGCATTTCGGCCCGCTCCGCTCCTTTGTTTTTCTTTAAAGAATTTATAGCGCAGACGGCACACTCGGTACTCATAGTAGTTCGGCGGCTGAATTAGTGATATGAGTACGTCATTTTGAATAAGTATAGGCATTATACAAATTTTAAGATAATATTAATTATATAAAATAGTACGCAAGATGCTGATTATTTATTTTTTCTAGATTTATTTGTCTGATTTATCTATTTATTTTAAATTTATATAAACTTCGAGACGAGACATATTTTTAATAGGTAATAATAATAAAACAACGCACTTAGTTATAGGAAATCACAAGACAACAAAAAATACCTACAAATAATTATATAAATTCTATAATTAACAGTAACATTAGTGGAAACAATCACATCACTTTTGTGCATTTTGCGTTTCGATTGGTAATTTGCAAGGTACTCCATTGGTCCATTGGTTATGGTTGGTATGAGTTTTTAAAAAAAAATTGAATTATTCCCAGGGAATTTTCGATTCATCCAGCTCAATTGTCTCGTCGCGGATAAGGTAAGGTAAATTAATACCACCTATTTCGATCCCTGATAATTCTACTTCCTGTTTGGATGTTTGTTACTCTTTCACGCAAAAACTACTGAACGGATTTTGATGAAACTTTACAGTATTATTGTTTATAACCCAGAATAACATATAGGCTATATTTTATGATGATATGTATGTAACAAACTAAATTTCACGCGGATGAAGCCGCGGGCAAAAGCTAGTAATATTATAAAGTATACAGGTGTTTGGAAGAACGTTAAACAAACTT